TGTTTTCTCTTAATTTTTAGAAGTTATATTGATAAATGTTAATATTATAAAAAAATAATGAAATATTTTTTTTAGAAAATGAATTCTAACTTAGATTAATTTAATAAAAAAAGGATTATAAATTTAATAATGAAAAATACAAATGTACGTTGATGCCAAAAGAAAAAAATTTTAAATTATTACATAAAATATTAATTAAGAAAGAAAATAAAAGAACACTAAAGAAAACTATAAATTTAAAGTGGTTTAAATAGATAATCAAAATTCTTTTTGGACTTAATAGATGAAAAACTGTTTAAGAACTTTAATTTTAAATTAATTAATTGACAAAAATTCATTTTACTTGAATTATGTCCTTAAAATTCATGCTATAAAAACAAAATTTTTAACAAATAAAAGTTAAAGTACCATATTAAATGTTTTTCAAAAGCTCAGGGGGGAGGGGCAGCTGTCCCCCCTTGTTCTTCATTGGCTCCGTCCCTGCCTGCGCAGCGCATTCAATGCTATCCGAACCTTTAATATCTCATTATTGAGCAGAGTTCACCAATAAGGACTTCCCTGTTTAGAATGTTTTCTTTGGTTTGAACGATGAGATGCTTTTTGAATTAACATAGGCTCATCTTGAGATCAATTCTTTGGTTTTTTTTGGGAGTCATAGCCATGCATCGAAACCAAATGCTGTATTATCTATGAATTAGATAGCTAAATAAGGTTAGAACTTGAAGAAGTGGGTCCTTGAAATGAAGTTTCCAGGTTGATTCTAAAGGAAGGCTTGAGCTGAAGTACAATTCTTCAAATCTTCAATGGTCACTTTCATTGAAATTACTTACTCTAACAAGACAACAAGAAGGATCCAATTTCCAAATCGATTGAAAAATCAAGCTGGAAAATATGAATAGGAGATGGTCTGATTCGTCCGCAGTTGAATTTAGATAACATGATACTTGCTTTTACCAGAAACAAACCCCACAACGAGGAAATGATGGTTAAGTACTAGCTAGTACTATTCTATCATCGCCCAGTAAACTAATCAAATATAGACTTAGACTTGTAGTGGTTTTATAAAGAAATTATGCTTTGAAAATGACTTGAACAGCACAGCTAAGCCTTGGTTTGCTGTCATTGATATTGATTTGATATATTATCTTAATGTAAGTGTTAACAATTTAACATAATATTGTTAAAGTTATTTGTATCCTTATTTGTATATTTAAAATTTAATTATTAGTTATTACATCTTAAAGGAAATAATATTCTTGATGATACCTAAGCTATAATTGACAAAAGGATAACTAGAGTTTACGAGAAATGTTGAATTTGAATTTACATCTCCATACCATATGGTTTCGTTTTGGAATTTTGGGTTATTCCTTCCTTTTATATTTGTTCAAACACGCTGTTGAAAAGGTCTTATAAGCGAAGTCTCCTTGTAAATTCTGTTGGTTGAAGTTTGATCTTGATTGATTTTCTTGCGAAACACATGAATTCAATGTAGATTTCCATTAACTAAATTTTCAAACCAACAAATAAAAGGTGCAAATGGATGATTTAGCCTTTTTTTTTTTTTTTTTTTTTAACACAAGGGTAAAATTTTATACTTTTATAAAGATGAAAATGTCCTGTATAAGTGGTTACTAAGCCACGAGTATTCTCAATTTTATCCCTGTGTTTGAAAATATAGAAATGCATAGAAATATATATATATATATATATATAATATTTATGAGAATAATCCCTTACCTGCCCATGGACAGGGTCAATGCTTTATCGTTAATGCTGGAGTTTCTATTGTACTTGGTAGAACCTGCCTTTATAATAACTAACCATAGCTAAAAAATAAAAAAGAGAACAGCAACAATTTGGCAGCAAATACTCCAGCTGAACAAAAATGGTCAACCGCATTATAAAATTTTGCTAGAGAATTACTTTTCCAAATTTTTGACTTAAAAGAACTTAGAGCAGAGGAATAGAAAATGCAGAGAAGTTCCTTCATCGTACAAGTCATTCCCTTGACCAATCCCTCCTCCTTGCTTCCGTGAACATGGTAAGACTTTATGCAGAGGTAATTTATATTTAAACCAGACTTCATCAATTTTTTAGAAATAACCAAGATGTTTGTTCTTTGCTTCTTTAAGCTTCTAACCTTAATAGCCTTCCTCCATGCCGTTGCTCCGATAGCATGTCTTAACTTCAATTACCCACAATTTGACCGAAAAGATTATAAAACCATTCACATAAGCCAAGAAACTTCTGCCATATCCGGATCTGCCATCCAAGTTACGTTGGACAACAGCCGCGATTATGCGCTCACAAATTTATCCGGACGAGCCTGGTATGCAAAACCGTTCAAGCTGTGGAGAAGAGGCGGAGGCGTAGACCCGATGAGGGCTTCCTTCAATTCAACCTTTGTGATTAATATTTCACCATTTCAGGGTACGACTTCAGTTGGCGAGGGCTTGGCCTTCATATTGGGAGCAAATATCACTGTACCGGAGAACAGTGATGGGAAGTGGCTCGGAATTGTGAATGAAAAATCAAATGGATCCTCCCAAATAGTAGCTATAGAATTTGACACAGTGAAGAGCTATCCAGAGGATCTTGATGATAACCATATTGGATTGGATGTAGGAAGTATATACTCCACCAAACAGGTTGGTACTGTTAAATTCAAAACTTTAATTTCAAGTTAATTTTTAGAGTTCAAACATATGTAATAATTAAATACTAACTTTTTTTTAAAAAAATAAAAACACAGTTTTCGCTTAGTGACTATAACATCCAGCTCAGTAACGGAACAGATATACGGGTAAATGTCCTTTACGACGGTGAAAACAAAAACTTGAGTGTTTTTGTTGCAACAAATGAAACAACGGAGTTCATCACAAAATTTTCATTTTTTGAGTGTATTGATCTCTCCAGTTATCTTCCAGAGGATGTTTACGTGGGGTTCTCAGCTTCAACAGGTGATAAAATAGAATTAAACTGTGTGAAATCTTGGAGTTTCCAAAGTGAAGATATAGGTGGACGGAGCTTGTTGTGGGTTTGGATCTCTGTTCCTGCCGTGGCTCTGCTCATTCTATTTTTTGTAGTCGCCCTTTTCCTGTACAGGAGAAGGAGATCCAGGCAAGAAGACCCAGAAGGAGCATATCCGAACATAAAAGATCATACTAGAAGCTCCGCACCAAGGAAATAAATATTTATAAATATTTATCAATAGTTCATATTAGAAGTTCCTAGTAAATAAATATATTTCACCTAAAGGTGTCTCAACTGAACAGAATAAAGGTTGCCATGAATCCAATTCAATTCACCTATTTAAAAATGATTTATGAGTAAGGATTCATCACTTATAAATTCATTTGATTTAATTCATTTGCCCTTATGATTTGTATGAATAAAATTATAAAATAAGTGGATCATTAATTGTCTTATTTAACTTACTAATTGATTTTATTCAACTTATCTAATCTATGAATCTTAATAAACAAATTTTAAACAAAGTTACTCAAATAATCCGTTTCGATTTAGTGGTATTAAATTATGGATTAGAATTATTTATTTCGTGTGGGTTGCGTATTCGAATTTCACAAAATCTGTTTATTTATTCCTCAAATTAATACGTAAATAATTGTAATTTGTTCAAAAAAACTCAGTTCACTCATTTATTAGTTTAGTATCATCTAACCTGTTTTTAAGATTTTAAATTAAATATTTTAAATTTAACTATTAAGACAAAAAGTTCTTATTGTATATAATTTATAATCAAAGACACAAAGAAAAAAAAAAATGGAAAATTTGAGCAAGTGAGCTTTAAAAGTTGAGGGCTACTCTCTAGGGAGGTAAATGTGAAACTGGCATTCATGGATGGGCAAATTAATCATCCATGGGGCCCTACTAAATTAAAAGAAAATTGTAATTACGATGTCCTTTTTGGTCACTTTCTTCATGGATGGTCGAAAAAGTGTCGACAATTTGGTTTGCCAACTCAGCATTCGGTTTACAACTGTTATGTAGGTCATGTAATGCGAAACCGTTTTGGTTCGTCTGCGGTCAGTTCCACCTACACTTGGCTGATCTACCCGTGTTCTCTTACGC